GCAAGAACAATGCAGTTTATTTTCACAAATGCTTTCTAATAGTGGTTTGAGTTAGAGAAAACAGATTTGATATTCATGGATTTGACAATGTTTTCCTACACCATCTTTTAAAAACTCGTTTGGTTTGCTTTTTTATCTTTTGGTGAAGATTCTCAAATGTGTTCTAAACAATAACAAACCATTGTAGGCCTAGCTCAAACAGATTAATACTCAATGCTCTAGGTTCATTTTCCCTTTAGTTCAAAATTCTTTCTGACTTGCTTTTTGGTTTCATCTTTAGCTCATGGACTATTTTTTATGTGTTATTTCATTTTCAAGTATTTTCAGGATCCTCTCAAAATCTTTTGTTGCTGATTTCTAATTTTATTTCATTGTGTTCAGAGAATACATGTTGTAAGCTTGAATCCTTTGAAAATTGTTTTATAACCTAAAGTTTATAGGTTACAAATTTTATAACCTAAATTTATATGTAAATTTAGGTGTATCTTAGTAAGTGTTCTGTATGCCGTTGAAAAAACTGTTATTGGCTGATGTTGGGTGGAATGCTGTACAAATGTCAACTAGATTTTGTTGATTTAGTGTGGATTAACTCTTACTTACTTTCACTGATTTTCTATTGGATTTGTCTCTTTCTCCTTGTTGTTTCTGTCAGTTTCTGCTTCACATATTTTTTTAATCTTTCAAAACCAAAGCATTTATTTTGAGCAATTACTGAAATTCTCAAGATGAACTGGATGCTGTGATAGCTGGTGTCTTGGGTTTAGGTGTCATTCCTTGACAGAATCCATGCCTGAATCTGTGAATTCTCTGAACACAATGAAATAAAATAAATATTTGAAGTTCATTTCTTTGTTTTTTTGTTTAAATGTATTTGGTACATGGTCTCACTATGCTATGAGCTCAGACTCATAGGATTACAGGCGTGTGCCACCATGTCCAGACTCTGTCTCTGGCCCAGAGTGCCCTGGGGGTGGGGCCTGAATGGTATGCTGGACAGGGGTTTG